CATTAGTTAATCACCAATATCTTCAAAATATATAATCATTTGCCAACTGTGGATGTCTGAGCAAAACAGTTAGTGCCGATCTATCGTTTATCAATTGTTTCACTGGCAAAAATTAGTGTCTGCAGATGCCTTGAGATTAAAAGTGAGGGTATTAACAAAGTCATTAAGCCTGGAGACCATTGACATTCTGTACCAAACTTTATAGCAATCTGTCTGATCGCTGATATTTCACTCTGGACCAAAGTATTGGATCTAACAGACTGACATTTCCATTCCTTTAGCGTTGAAATTCAGCGCAGGTCCTGCCCAGCGACAGCTCAGTAGTCGTCTCAAAGTGATACTGCGCTCCCAAGACAGCTATTGATTCTTTAATTCAGCTTTGGCCCCAATCTCGGCTGTCATTAAACTCCTTAATGCGAGAGAAAGAAGATCCAGGCAATCAGTGCATATTGGCCGATGGAGTCCAGTTTAATCTGCCCGGCCCATCTGGGGGTATTAGGAGCTTTAAAAGGTCCAATTGGGTCCAGAAATACTATTACCATCATTACAAAACACTCTCTGCTATGTAATAATAATAATTATAATAATACATTTCATTTTTATAGCGCTTTTCCTGGTGCTCAAAGACGCTTTACATAAAATAAGAAACAGAAACAGTACAATATTATTATTATTATTATTAATGTTCTATAATAACGTGCAATTACGTCTCTGCCACTACATTTGTTTGCACTACTAAATACTGCTTGTCACTGTACAGTATTTTACATTAATTATGTGACCGGTATGTTTCCTGTAGTTATTTAATTGCTCTGTTCACCGCACTGTTAGTGTACAGTTTTATTATTATGCTGCTGTGTTTATTGTCTTTTTGTAACTCTGGCACAACAATTTCCTTCAGGATAAATAAAGTTCTATCTTATGTTATCTTATCAGAAACTGGCCTCTTCGCCCAGTGTAGTTCACAGTTTGTCATTTTCACAGCACAGAGCCAAACCACCGGGTGCTGAAGAGGCACAATTATGATTTGGGGTTTTTCCCTTTCCCATAGTGTGTTATAAAGATTGTTTTGCATGTAAATGGTCTGCAAAGGCTAAAATCCCATGACATGCAATCACTATGTAACA